AGCAAAATTTAAGAAAGATATGAAAAAGATCTTGGAAACAGTAAGAATTCTATATAGAGTCAATAACTTCCAGATCAATAGTAACAAATTAGTTCTAATTACTATTAATAACCCTAACTTTTACCTAAAAGAGGTTCAGATAAGTATTAAAAAAGAAGTAGTCAAAGAGCTTAACAAAACAGATTAAGCAAGATTTCTAGGAATTTGGATGGGTAATTAAAGGATCTCAATTGAACTAAAGGAAAGTGTGCTCAAAGAAATTTATGTAATCACTAGAGCTCTCAAAAATAAAAAAGTGACAGATAAGTAGGTATTATATATTCTAAATAGGGTATTAATATCAAAAATAGAATTTAGAATATAGTATAGTATATTATCTTGGAAAATATGCAACATGTTAATAGCAGCATATAGAAGACTCTTCAAATATAAAAGTTTATTATGCAAATCTACTTTCAATAATATAATATATCACCCAAAGATCCATAATTTAAAGTGCATTTGAATACTACAAAAAGAAAGTCAGATAACAGGATTGTATAACAGATTGAATAATCATGGACTAGCAAAAACCATAACAATAAAAAGGCTCAAATAAGCATAAATCAAATATTGGGAACCATTCAATTTACTAATTTGCAACTCATTAGACTATCTTATAGATAAAGACAACTTTTCACTTCAAGTAATTAAGTTAGTCAAAGATATGGAAATTACTTTTCAAAGTTGAAAATGGCATGATATATTTGAATAGAAAAAAGGAAATAGTCTGATTAAAGAATATCTCTCACCTGTGAAGTACACTAAAGCTATACTATCACTAAGAAACAACAGGTTGATGTATATAGATCAGCTTATTGACTATGAAGCAAGTGAAGTAAAAAATTAATGTATACTCCAACTCATCCAAAAACAAGCAAAGGTCCTATCCCAGAATGGTTCTTAAATATAAGTATAATGTTTCCTAAAGATCTTTTAAATCAGTTTATAGAATTGTGAAAAATAGATTGGATAAAATGGAAGTCAACATATTCTACAGTCTGTCCTAACTATGACAAAAGGCAAAAAATATGAATAATTAAAAAGAATATCAATTATCAACTAATATAAGAAAAGTTACTACAAAAAGAACTTAAGAAAAAGCAAAGATTGAATACTATAGGTATCAGAATAGTAAAAATGGACAAGAGACAAAGCTAATTAAATGCATGGGTTGCCCAGAAGGTTTTATCTAAGAACAAAGTTGCATTATAAAGGGAGATATGAAAAAAATATATATTATATCATATCTTAATACAAGAAAAAGTACTAGAAGAGCCTAGATGCTAACAATTTTATGTTTCACAATATCTCTGGAAAGAGCAATCAGAAAAACAATAGATAGTAATCAAGTATTTGTATAGAGTCTGCGGGGGTTATTTCAGCAGTCCACTTTCCAAGGTACCAAAATAAATTATATAAATATAAAAAGTTTGAAAGAAACGATTATTAAAGAGAATGTTAAAGAAGGAGTATATCAAGATCATCTAATAGAGATACTCTAGTATAATAAATGATCCAAACAAAAGTTAATTTTCTATTTAGATAGATCTTTAATTAATCATGGCAGTGACAATATAAAGATGGGAATAGCATAGATCCAAATAAGTGATATAGGAAAAGAAAATAAATTTCAAATAAGAATAGACAGTTTGCCCTTATTTATATGTACAAAACTAATAGCAATAGTTACAATACTTCTAGTAGTTTCAATAGGTAATTCAATTGAAATCTTTACAGATAGTCAAGCCTATATCTCAAAGTAAAAAATAGTTGAAAAAGATAATTAAAAAAAAACATATAAAAGATGGCTAAAGGATAAAAACTGATTATTATAAGTATAAATAATAGAGCCAGTCAAAAAAAAAATCTAGATTTGAAGCTTATCAAAGTTAAGGTATACTCTCAAAACTTCTATAATAATGAAATAAATATTCTAATCAAAAATGCTCTCAAACTTTCAGTGATAGAATGGAAAAATCTTGCCTTATACAAAATCCCTACAAAAATTAAGTGACAGAATAAAATTAGATGATTCCATAAGACAATTTATCAAGAAGATGAATAACAAGGCTATAGTATATCAGTGAATATTATAAAACAGAATAGAAAAGAAATAGAGTTATTAAATTCAAGAACAACAAGGTATACATGAGATCTAGTATGGAAGAGAATAAATAGTTATACGTGTAATACATTTTTCAAAGATTCTTAAAGAAAAAACTTCCTTATCAAGGTGATAAATGATAAGATATTAATACTAAGTAATCTGATAATAAGAAGGTCAAATCTATATAAGCAAGTAAAATGTATTGCATATGATCTTCAAGAGAATGAAACAATTAATCACTTGCTAGAATGTTTAGTATACAAGGAACAGATAAAGAAGATATGAAATAAAGATCTTAAAAGAGTTTTGATAAATTTCAGAAAACTCTTACAAGAAAGAAAAATGGAAGCAGAAAAGAAGAATACTAGATTAATAGTGGATAACAATAAAGAAATAAGTGAAATAAACAAGTGAACATCCAAGCTAGTAGATCAGTTTTCAGCAACTAGTTAGAATATATTAAGTTTCTTTGTAGGATAAATAAGAAGTGAACCCATCTTTTAGATGGCAGACCTTAAATGCCATGATAAAAGAATTAGAAAAAAAACAAGAAGATGAATCAAGAAATTGCAAAGTATGACTTGTAATCAGTTTTGAAAGAAAATCTAAAACACAAGATGTAAAAGAATGATAAAATGGAAAAAATTACAAGGAATCCAAAAGAAGAATAAGATAAAAGACTCTAACCTTCCAGGTGCTAAAAGCAAGGAAAGCTCTGATATTAGAGTAAGGAATATTAGAAGATAAATACTTAAAAGATATCTTATAAAGAGGGGTTAGATTTGGAATAAGATGATTGGGTTTTGAGTAATGTCTGAACTTGAAAGAGTGATTTGCAGTAGTGACTTGCAGGTAATGATATTAAGAGTTGAAAGGATTTTCACTTGAACTCTTAATAGAGAAATAAATCACTTCCAAAGTTGTACTTAGAGTAGTAATTATAAAGACGAGTGAGCTAGTTGATGTTTTTTAGCTTTAATGATTCATATTATTTGTATAGTTTATAAATATTTAATAAAACACACATAACTAGCTTGACAGAAAGTTAAAATAAATAAATAAATAAATAAATAATTTTTAAATTAATAATATTAAATTTATATATAATAAGTAAACTTATACTTTTAAAAATAATTATAGTTACTTTCAAAAGTTTAAGTTTACTTACTATGTTTTTATTATAAATTTTAACATTGACAATTTTTAAATCCTTAATTTTTTTTTGTTTTTTTTTAAACTTGTGGTTAGATCAATACTATGTATTTATTAGTTATTATAAAAATCAATAGAAATACATAGAACAATTGTATCATGGCTAAACTAAAAACTTATACTAATATATTCATCAATAGCTTTCAATTCTTAAAAAAGCTTCGGCCTCTAAGTATAATCTTAAGAACAATATTTCATTTCATGATAGATTTTAAATAAATATCCTCCTAATTTATTCATCATTACTAGTATATTGTCATTATTTATTATCTTTCAAGAAACAGTTTTCAAGAAACAGTTTTCAAGAAACTACAAAAGGGAAAGGAAAAATAAAAAAAAAAGGAATATCTAAAACAGTATAAGTGTACTATATAAAAAAGAAAAACAAAAAAGAAAAATAAAAGTATTCCATGTTCTTCAAAAAACTTCTACTAAAAACCTCTTCTTATTAGAAGTCAACCCTTCTATGATATTCTTCTTCCTCTTAACTGTCTGAGAAACTAATTTATCTATACTCTTGATTATTTTTTTATGATCATTTGAGATATTTATTATCTACTCAAATCTAGTGTCTTATTGAATACTTTTTTTTTTCAGTCTTAATTTTGTTTTTTTTTTTTTTAAACTGCAATCATGCCACAATGGCTTGTCTTTATTGAAAAATTGAAGTAACTCTACAATATTTTACAGACTTTCACAAAGTGACTAACTCGTCTTCATACAAAAGTACTCTAAATCAGATTTTGGGAACAATATTACACTCTCTCAATAGATTGTAATAACCTCTATTTACCAGAATCATTGCTAGCAGTTTGTCACTGTTGATTGTTGAAAATCAATGAATTGCTAAGTTAAAAAAGGGAAAGGAGAAAAACGATTGGAGGAAGGGAACAATTCAAGGCCCACTAAAAAAATCCAAAAATAAAAACAACCTCTTCTCAAAAGGGATCTGACTGATTGGGATAGTCTTTTTACTTCACTTGAACCTTGGAAAAAATCTTCTTTTTCACCACCTGCAATATCGGACGAGTCAATCCAACTGGTCTTTTATTTAAGTAGGCACCGGATTGGGATATTTCAAGGAAAACATTTAGACCTCAGCTTTTTTCCATTAAAGCTTTGTCACCACTTGAGGAACTTAGGTAAGAGTTTAATAATAATAAATTATTTTTAAAGTTGTATCTAGAGTTTAATAAATAAAATATATTAGATAGAAAAGTAACTTTAGCAAAACATGTAAATATATAAATGATAAAAGAACCTTTACAATGAAAAAAACAATAATCCAATTGGCTTTTATTACGTTATTGAACAGACAAACTATTAGCGAGATTAATATTAAACTAAATACAATTAGACTATCTATTTTACCGGTCTGATACATAAGAGTGTCATTCTCGGCGAAACGCATATATGGATGTCCGATAATTCAGTTACAACCCAAACAAAAATATAATATATATTTATTATGTAATGATTCAAAAAATTTTATAATTCTGTTGCATAACTTGAATATTTCCTGCGACATTCGTTTTTAAATATCATTTGTAATTCAAATGTTTTTTTCAACAAATTCAATTGCTTTCTTCGCAAACTCTAATTTCGTCTCTTTTCTCGTGAGCGAAGGCGAAGCGTTTACCAGTTCGACAAATGTCGCATCAATATTGCTTGATGCGATACCGATCCAACATACTCCACCCTCAGGACTCTGTTCGGCCAACCCAGTAGTCGCCACGCAAATTAAATGTTTCGTGTTATTGCAATCATTTCCGATGGCTGAATGTTTCCGCAATTCGTCCAAGCCTCTCTCGGCTAATAAACGAGCAGTTTCATAAGAAACAGCGCCATGAGCGTTAATTACTGAAGGGTCAACACCTAATGCAATCTTGGCATTATTACTGTAGACGACTCGACCACCCCAGAACACTTGACTTGATCCGGAAATATCAGTTATTAGGTTGGCTATCAATCCGCCAGTGCACGACTCGATTGTGGAGATAAGATAATTAGACGTCCGAAGTTTTTGCACGAGATTTTGAGCGAGGTTAATGTTTGACATGTTTATTGTTGAATTTTTTTGTTAAAAGTGTAGAGTCAATATAATGGTTTCCTGAAAAATAAACTCCTTTTATAGCATATAATTTTAAGTACTGCGGTATTGACTTAAATAATGTTCATTTTATTTGACTGTATATGCTAAAATCTAAATAGTTTGTAATTATTTTTATTTTAAAATTTATTATAATAATTATTGTTGTTTATTTATTATAAATTAAATTTTCGCTTTTGAAAAATTTTAATTAATTATTATCTAATAAAAAATTTGTTAATATAAAAAAAAATTTTTTTAAAGAATTTAAAAATTTATTTATTAAAGTTTATTTAATAAAATTTTAAAAAAATAGTTTAAAAAGTATATAGCAAATTTTTATTATAATAAATATTTTTAAAAAAATTTTAAAAAAATTTTAAAATATTTTTTAATTTTTTCAATATGTATAAATTAAATAATTTGAATACAAAATTTTTAATTAATAAAACTATAAATTTATAAATTTATATATATTTTTTAATAATTTTATATTAAAAAATTTTTTTATTATTTTAATTATATAATTTTATATTTTTTAAAAAATTAATTATTTATAAAATTATAATATTAAAATTTAAACAATTTTTAAGTTTTTAGAAAAAGTATTTGTTAAAAACTATACTATATACAATAGTCTTGTTTTCTAAAAAATTCATTAGATTTTAAACTTTTTAAAATATATAAATAAATTTTCAAATTTTTTAAAAAATTTTATTTATTTATCTGACTTTAAATTTTTATTATATTAGATCTGTTGGAATTTTATTGATTGAATATTTAAAGTTGAATAATATCATCAATAATAAAAAATAAATAAGACATATATATATTTTCATATGTTTCCTTTTATATCCTATTTTACAAATAAATATTGTACTTATTATAATTATTAACTTAATCTAATATAAATACTTCATGAACTATATATACTGTAATCAAATTTATATTTGACTAGTATGTTCAAGTAGAATTGTTTTTAAAAGGACAATTCCCAAAGAAAGAATTAAAAAAATAATTTATAATAATTAAAGAAATATTCAAGAATAAATTTAACAAGAATTCTTTAAACAATGTTATATCATATTTTACAAGAAATATAGTTAATTCAGAATTCAAGTTTATTAATAAATCAAAAAAACTAGGACAATTCCTTTAGTTCTAAAATCAAGAGAAGATATTCAATCTTCAAGAAATCAAAATAAAGTTATTGATCAACTTTTAAAGTTAAGTAAAGTTATACTCAAACCTTCAAATCAAATAAAGTTATATTCCAATTTATCCTACTTTTAAATAAATTATAACTGTTTATATACTTGTAAAAATAAATCACTTGGATCACTTGGACCTCCTAGGCCTCCTGAATCTTCTGGGTCTCTTAGACCTCCTGGGTTATCTGATCTAAGGTAAATTATGTTACATGTTACATTTGATAAAATGATCTATACTAATTAAGTATCAATAAGAATATTAAAGAATATCAAAGAAATAATTATAAATAAATAGATAAAAATAGAAAAAATAGAATAAAGATCATGACTAAAAATAATTATACAATAGTATTAGAGGCTATTTTTATCACACTTTCCTTTTTTTAAAAGGTGAAGTTCTCTAAGTCAAGTTTCTTCACATAATAAATAAAATCATTTCATAAATTTTATTAGTCATTCCAAATAGATAATTCATGGACAAGAACTTTATTTGATAAATTATATTTGAATTGCCTTGAAAAATTTTATAGATGCATCTAGTTATACGATAATATTGGTGAGAATTTTGAAGTAGATTTTTCTGAAGATACTATTGTCACAATTGTTTGGAGTCCTAAATGATATTCAATAGTTCTTCCAAATAGTATAAATTGGTTAGAGTAGTTATGCGATCAGATTGTTGTATGTGTTGCTTGATTTTCAAAAGAGTATTTTTAATACTATCCTTTAATGGGGTAATAAAATTATATGGAAGTTTACAGTATACTGGTTTGAAGTTTCATTCAAAATGGATAACATATTTATTTTAAGTAAGTCCAGTTTCCTTGCAGCTAATTGTTGGCAGCTGAGTTTGGGTATTTTTTATAGAAATTTTTCCATATAAACATTTCTTAAATATATTTTAAGGTTGCACCATTGATGATCAATTTATTCTAATTTGATTTTATATGATGGCTTGTCCAACTGATCATCAGTTCCTGTTCAACATTAAATAGATAGGCTTAATAAATGATTCATCACTAATTTTCATATTCTATATCACAATTTTCTTGAAAATACCTCATATCAATCAATAGAATTGAACATAATAATAAATATTCTAATTCAGTAGTCAGTTGCATCATATTGAGGCAAGAGAAAATGAAATTCCTTGGTCAGGTTTTACTTCACTGTCATTGTTCAAAATATAAAGAAGAATTGGTTCCCTTTGGACTGAACTTTCTATACCTCATAAGCTATTTAGAGCTCAAAGAAATAACTTATAGCAGCTTTATCTTCGTGATCAAGAAGCTATGGTCCAATATTGGTAATAGATAACTTTGTTTCTCCAAGTAAACTCAAGATAGTTGACTTTGGAGCTTTTTTAACAATTAACAGTGTGCTCAGAAATTCAAGCACTTTGTCTCCATATAAAAAAACTGTGAATCTAACTAGTTCAAGCAAATATCTTTTCAAATTCACCTTCCTTTAGAGCTATTGATGAATGGCAGATGAGTTTAATTGAACCTTCTTTTGAAGTATTTTCCTAGCTTGACAATCCTTATATTTGAATCAATGATTAACTTATAATCTTAATTCTCCTCAAGTTTAAATAATATACTTTTCTAGAAAGAAAAATTAAATAATTAATTTTGCTATTTGTTTTTCAATAAAAATTTCTTTTGTCACTTGATACTAAAATATTTTATTATCACTGTGATGCTTTGTGAGCCGGTAATTTATAGTATAAGGTAATATTCTGAGGGTTTTTATTCTATATTTGCATTTTTCACTTTTAATAGGTATTATGTGTCCTATCACTCATATATAATTGTTATAACTATCTAAATATATTATCATATCCAAAGAAAATAAATTAATATACTAAGATAAGAGAAACTATAATTAAATAAATAAAATATAACATAATAAAGAAGAAAATAATTATGACACAAAAATAAAAAAATAGAACTTTTTCTATTGATTTTCTGACCATACACAAAAAAGATGTTTGCAAGAAGTTTTTATATTTTTTTGCTAATAAAGTCTTAATACTTTTCTTAAAACAACTTGAAGTTTGTACTTCAAGAGTCACTTCTACCCTTTCCCTATTGTCTACAAATCTCTTCACTCAAAAACTTGACTTCTAGTAATTAAGAAAAGTCAAGTAGTACCTTTGATACCAATAGCAAGAAAGTTCTTAAAGAAAGAAGAACTGACTGTAAAGTGCCTGAAAATCTTTCTAACCTTTTAAGCAAGAGGTTTATAGAGATTTTTTGCAATAAAAAGACTTATTTTTTTTCTTTTTGACTGTTTTGATCCTCTTAGAACTTATATGTTTATGGTTTTCTAAAGAATTTTGTTTACATCAGTTTGACCCTAAATTTTGAGTAACATAAATCCTCACCAAAAGTGATTGGTTGATATGAAACACGTTAGTTTTTGAAATATAAACAAGCTCCTATTGGTCACACTCACATGTCTTGATATATCATTGGTTATGTAAAAAAGAAAGTTCTAAAAAAAGTGTCCCCTTCAATTGTATATGTTTAATCTTCAGGAAACAATTATAATACTGAAAGGCAAGTGATGGGTAGAAATAGAAGATCCAATTCCTATTTTTTATTAAGTTCCTTAGATGGTAAAAAAGCTTTCTTGGATAGAAACTAAAATTTCCAAGCTTCTATTCCAGTCAGCAAAGTTTTTGAAAAGATTTTTTTATTCTAGTTAGACAAACTCTTCTATAATATGGTACTGGCTTTACTAGTGATAAGCGAATCCGTATATCGGCAGAAGGATAAGTTTCTCAAATATTTTTCTTGAAGTTACTTTCAGGAATAGCTAAGTTTTCAAATGTCATTAAGCTTAAAGAATATCCCAATTAGGCAAACCCCTTTCGAGAGGAAACCGTGAAATAGAGCAAAAACCTTTTGGAGAGCTTTGAATTGTATTATTTCTTTCTTTTTTCCAATACCAACTTTGGCAATTTATCATTTTTCAAGATAATCAACAGTGACAAACTATTGGCAATAACTCTAGTTGACTTAGAGGCACTATTGCCAAGCTACTAGAAGAGTGAGATATTGTCCCCTAAATATAATTTAGAATACTTAGTTTAGACTTAGTTTTGTTTAGTCCAAACTAGCTTAGTGGACTCCTCATATTTTTTAAGTAATGTAGTCCTTTAA